TCCTTTCTCCCAGTGTCCTTAGGCAAGAAAATATTCCCAAGAGTTAGGGTGGGACTGGAGACGGAGGGGTGTTATTACCAGAGCTCTGGAGGCTGCTGATCTGTGCTCAGGGCTGGGAGCAAGAGGGGACTCGGGCCTCACATTCTTATTGCCTGTGCTTAGCTTCATGTTCTCTAGAGGCCAACTTGGCCTCATTTCCTACTTCTGGAGTAGAGGTCCCAGGAACCTGTCAGGACACCAGAGAGGGAATCCTTCCTTTACTCATTTAGGCAGGCAGTGCCACATTGAGCCTCACTGACAGCTGTGTGGTGTGCTTCACATGTGGAGGGAAGAGGAGGAGAAAGCCACCAGCCTGCATGGGCCATGTAGCCATGAACACGGTCTGTGGCAAGACGACCAGCATAGTGAGATGAGTTGAGGATCAGATGTTACCACTTTCTCCAGTGTAGATCCTCTCCTGTGACGTTGGTACATGTTCCTGAAATTATGGGAGCCTGAGGAAGAAATTAAATTTTGTTGAAGAACAAAGTTAACAAATTAAAAAAAGAAAATTCTAAATAGTAGGTGAGACATACATATACTTATTACCTTCAAGTTTGGCATTTTGTTGCAATTTTACAACAGTGACTTTAATTTATAAAAGTGATTAGTCCTTATTATAAAAGAAAATAAAGAAAACCCCACATTGTACTAAATATACCATACCTTAGAGATAACCTACACTGATGGATATATTTCTATGGGTAGTCATAGATAAAAGGTTAGATAGATATAAATCATCTTATTAAAGTGGGATATATTATATATGCTAATTTAAACAAGGACAATACTTACCTTTAAATCAATTTAATACAGGAAAAAGAATACTGAAGCAAAACTATACCTCACAAAATTATTTCTTTACCATATGAGATACTAGTTTGTATCAGATTCCTTGCAAGTTAAGGGGGAAATAAGGAGGAGGTTTCAATTTTTATGTTTTGTTTATAATACCTTTTGATTTTAGAGTTTCAGTTGGTCTGATAGAAAAGATAAGATTAGTGCTTTTGCACTTCCTCTCACTTCCTATTTTCCCAAGTCCCAAATTTAGTTTAAGTTGGTCTCAGGGACTTTGGGTTTGGCGAAGTGACCTGCTTTGGCCAATGAATGGTGATGGAACATGACACTTGCCTCTTCTAAGCCAAATGTTTTAATGCGAATGTGTGCTTTGACTTGAGACGTCTTGCATTAGCCCTCCGCAGTGACAGCAGCATGTTCTAAAGAGGGGCTACTTTCAATCTGTTTCCCGTGAAGAGAAACCGTGAGATGAACCCATCAGAGCTCCAGCTGATTCACAGCCCTTACCTAATGTGAGCGAGGGACACATGCTTGCTGTTACAAGCCAGGAGGTTATTGAGTTTGTTTTTTACAGCACCAAACACAGTAATTATTTTTAGCTTTATATAATTAAATTTTGTTGAAGAACAAAGTTAACAAATTAAAAAAAGAAAATTCTAAATAGTAGGTGAGACATACATATACTTATTACCTTCAAGTTTGGCATTTTGTTGCAATTTTACAACAGTGACTTTAATTTATAAAAGTGATTAGTCCTTATTATAAAAGAAAATAAAGAAAACCCCACATTGTACTAAATATACCATACCTTAGAGATAACCTACACTGATGGATATATTTCTATGGGTAGTCATAGATAAAAGGTTAGATAGATATAAATCATCTTATTAAAGTGGGATATATTATATATGCTAATTTAAACAAGGACAATACTTACCTTTAAATCAATTTAATACAGGAAAAAGAATACTGAAGCAAAACTATACCTCACAAAATTATTTCTTTACCATATGAGATACTAGTTTGTATCAGATTCCTTGCAAGTTAAGGGGGAAATAAGGAGGAGGTTTCAATTTTTATGTTTTGTTTATAATACCTTTTGATTTTAGAGTTTCAGTTGGTCTGATAGAAAAGATAAGATTAGTGCTTTTGCACTTCCTCTCACTTCCTATTTTCCCAAGTCCCAAATTTAGTTTAAGTTGGTCTCAGGGACTTTGGGTTTGGCGAAGTGACCTGCTTTGGCCAATGAATGGTGATGGAACATGACACTTGCCTCTTCTAAGCCAAATGTTTTAATGCGAATGTGTGCTTTGACTTGAGACGTCTTGCATTAGCCCTCCGCAGTGACAGCAGCATGTTCTAAAGAGGGGCTACTTTCAATCTGTTTCCCGTGAAGAGAAACCGTGAGATGAACCCATCAGAGCTCCAGCTGATTCACAGCCCTTACCTAATGTGAGCGAGGGACACATGCTTGCTGTTACAAGCCAGGAGGTTATTGAGTTTGTTTTTTACAGCACCAAACACAGTAATTATTTTTAGCTTTATATACTTATATTCTGTCCTATAAACACTCCAATTATTTAGAATTAGTTTTACATTTACATGGATTTAGCGTTTAGCACCAATTCTTTTGCTAGGGGTTGTCTATTTCTGGATTTGTTTTTGTTCATCTTTTGATTAGCTAGATTTTTATCATCAAGTGGTTTTTTTTTAGAAGAGTTCATGATGGCCATATTCTGTGTATTTTCAAGTTTGTGAATACCTTCTTGTGGCCCTTCTCTACTTGAATACCCACTTTGCTAGGTATAATATTCTTGTATTATAATTTCTTTACCTTAGAGTTTTGAAAATAATGTCAAAAGAATTAGAACAGTAAGTTAAAAGATGCTGTGAAAACATCCGGAGGCCAGGCTGATATTTGTTCCCTCATAAGTAACTTTTACTTTTGCTTGATTACTTGATACATTTTTTTGTTCATTTATTTGAAGTTCAGTAAAAAAACATAACAAAACAGGATTATCTCTAAGTGGATCACTATATATAAATTTTTTTCAGGTTCTTTTCTATATCCAGGTTTTTCATTTCATGGAAACTTTCCTTTATTGAAGTTTGAATTTTTTTTTCTGTTTCATTTGGATTCTCTACTTTAAGACACTCAGTTATCTACATAATGAATTATTGCCTTTTACATTTTAATAATTATTTTTAAATTGTAAAATATGCATAATACAAAATGTACTATTTTATCCATTTTTAAGTGTTCGGTTCAGTGGCACTAAGTACATTCACATTGTTGTACAACCATAACCATCATCTATCCCCAGAACTTTTTCATCTTGCAAGACTGCAGCTCTCTACCCATAAACAGTAACTCCCTGTTTCCTTCTCCAGTTGCTCCTGGCAATCATCATGTGCTCTCTGTCTCTCTGAATTTGAATGCTCTAGGTACGTCTAGAAGCGGACCCATACTGTATTTGTCTTTTTGTGACTGGCTTATTTTGCTTAGCGCAATGTCCTCAGAGTTCATCCATGATGTAACATGTGTCAGAATTTCCTTTTTCAGCTTAAAACTATTCCATTGTCTGTATATACCACATTTTGTTTATCTACTCATCTGTCAATGAACATTGGTTGCTTCCATCTTTTGGTTATTCTGCATAAGGCTGCTATGAACACAAATACACTATGTATACAAATATCTGTTCAAGTCCCTGCTTTCAATTCTTTTGAGTATATACTCAGAAGTGGTATTGTTCGATCATATGGTGGTTTAAAAATTTTTTTAAAACAATTACCATATCATTTTCTACATCACCTTTACCATTTTACATTTCTACTGATTCGTACAGATTCCATAATCACCATGTTCTTGTTAACACTTGTTTTCTGGTTTTGTTTGTTTTTATGATAGCCATCTGAATGGGCATGAAGTAGTGGATCATTTCTTGATTTATTCTGTCTGTATACCATCTCTTCTTTATTTGCTGCAATCTCTGTCATTCTCATCTATATTTATTATGAATATTTCAGATCTTTGTTTCATTAATGAAACAAATACCTGTTTTTTTGGGTTTTTTTGTTTTGTTTTTTGCTATTAACTTATTAAACTGGTTATGCTCCTGTTTAGGCAATCCATTAATTCCTTTAGCTTTGTAGCATGTGTTTTCAACCCCTTCAGTAGTTTTATGACCTTCCTTTATAGAATTTAGATATTTAAAAAATGTTGTATCTCAGAGATTTCCAAGGAGTAGCGTTCCATCTCTTCTGACGGATTTTCTTTCAGACTAGGCTCACCTGTTGTCTTTTGCCTGTGATGCTCCTTTGGTTCTTTGCTTTCTCCTTTTTTCCTAGTGTGTTTGTATAGCTGCCATCCACTTCTCTTCTTGTTTATATTTAACCATAGTACAGGCACCTCTAACTAGTCTCTTTGTCCTGACGTGTTATGAGTACAGAGTCCTTCCAACCTTCCTTCTTTTCCCAAACCTACTTTTCTTTCTGTCTTCACCTGGAATTTGAGGGATAAGTGTAGATTTCTGTTCATTTTTCTGTAGCCTGAAGGCATTGAAGTTTGGAGGAAGGGTTAAATTAGCTGGGGGCTGAGCACAATCTTTATCAAAGGACGTGAATTTTCCTTGTTTTAAGAGTCATTAAATGCCACATGCGGGAGCCCATTTCTTCAGGAATATGCCCCAATCCCATTGCTTTTGGTTGTTCCCCCAGTCAGCTCAGATCCCAAGCAGCACTTTTGGCCTGGAGCTAAGGTCTTTCAGGCATATAGGAGCTTCTACCCTTGAAGACATTTCCCTGAGCTGCTCTCTCCCACAATTTGCTTCTGTTCAAACTGGTAAATATTTCTGTGAAATACTGAATTTTGTCAATTATTCTTCCTTTAGTATAATTTCTGGAAGGGTGGGTTAGAAGGCAAGCCACAAAGAAATCATTGGTTGTCTTTCTTTAACATTTTATAACATTCATGTCATGAGACTTACCCTTTTTTCCTTTTTTTGGCTGTTCTGGTTTGTTCATCTGTTTATTAACTTTTAATTCATTTTTTTTAGACACCAAAAGAATATAATAGGTGGCTTTTGAACATCATTGTAATCAGGATTTGTTCTGCTGTCTTTTCCTGAAATCCAACATACCATTTGAATTTCTGCTCCTAGGCCATGAAGAGACTCCTGCCCTCTAAGGAGAAGCATGCTGTGGTTCTTCAGCATCGAGGGTATGTTGGTTTAGAACATGTGTCAGGCACACTGACATTATGTTTTTCACTTACTGTGCATTTTGGTAATGCCTCGTAACTTCTCCACCAATGGATTTTAGAGGGGCCTGTTTTTTTCATTTTAAATGCTAACCTCTTGGGCTGGGCTTGATGTGGATCATGAGAAGACCTTTTACCTTCTATGATATCTGAAATGCCAGTTTTCTCTTGAATTCTATTGAGGGAGACAGTTGAAAAGAGAACATCAGGGGCTGGAGAGGATCTAGGCTGAGGAGCTGGAGAGGTTGGGGCAATCAATTCACTGGCTGAGGAGAGGGGCTGCTGCCCCACAAGGCTGTCAGCGGGAAAGGAGCTGTGGGAGGACATGCAGCGGCTCCAGGTTGGGAGGAGTGGGCCCAAGCTCAAGTCTCTGCTGGCCCATGCTGTTTTACTTGTCCACCTGCCTTCTCTTCGTCTTGAGTCTACCTCTTTCCTGTATGCTTCAGCTCTGCTCAGTCCAGGTCCAGTTCTATGAGGAACTAACACAGCAGTGTATGCTGCAGAAGGAGAACAAGTAGCTTTTGAACATCACTGCATCATTCCAGGTGTCTGTGATTTTACACTCACTTTCATCAGTTACTTTAGCCACTTTGCAGGCCTTGTTTTAGTTTCTTAAATGGCTTAAGATGTTTGGATTTGTATGCCTTACAAAAAAGAAAAAGGACTCTTGACCCACAGAAGAGTTCATGCATTCACCACTAAAATACCACAAATGCCAGAGAGAGATAACACCATAATGTTCACACTAATCTGGGGTGAAATGTTAACAATCTTTTCTGATATGAGAAAAATCATAGTAAACCTGGATGATCTACCATGTCTGAATTATCTACACCTTTTGGGTTCATAAACAAGTAAATTGTGAACATGTGGGAAAACACTCAGAGTCCTAAGAATTCACATAGAGCCCTGGGCAAGGGAACAGTCCCAGAACATGGCTTGCTCTGCTGGTGTTGGCTGGGCTCACCCGATTTGTATCCATCAGATCCGGCCTTCTGGGGATGCCTTTCAGAGGTCCCCTCATCACTTCACTTGGCTGCGTTTGAGACTTTCCCCTGGATGACCTGGGTGACTGCACAGGCACCATTGTGTTAGTTTTCCCTGCTGAAGACTGATTCTGCCACAAACTTGAATTTCAGTGGCATTCTTGCCTCTCTGTGGTAGGGGCCTGGAGGTCCCTGATGGGTGCTTAAGATCAGTAAGAAAAAGGGCTTTGGATGTTCACCTGTTTCTGTGCTTTATGAGAATTCTCCCCGGCAGCTCTGGTGGCCTGGTCAGGTTTTCAAGGGCTTCCAGTCACACAGCATCATTTTGTATCTGAGGCTCCTTTTTCTTAAAAAGTAGTTTTGTGTCATGCCAGGTGCCATCAGCAAGATCATGGCTCTGAGTCCATGTTCACTCTGTACTCTTTTGGTCTCATCAGTAAGTGAGTAGCTCATCTTACTGTGCATAATATTTCCAAGTAAATATATTTTATTTGAAAGGATAGAGGTAGGATAAGGTCAAGACTTGAAGTCTGGACCCATTCTCTCTGTGATTCTAATTATTATTATTATTGTAATAAAATAATGAAAATCCCAAGCTAGGATTTAAACCCATTGAGTAAGGCTGTATGAGGATTAATTTGAAATAATATATGTAAAGCACATAGGTTAGTTTATGAAACATAGTAAGTGTTCAATAGTAAAAATAAATATGGATTCTTAGAAAGTCACTGTAAAAAATGCAGGTGTCTGTATGCCCACATATATTTATTAGTTGTTTTAATCACTTGCACAAGTTAACCAACATCAAACCTGTGTAGATTTTCTAAACCAATTATGTAGGAATTTTTCAACAATTCATAGGAAATAACTATAATAATACTATATAGGAGATAAAATATATATTATTATTACATATTATAATATGTAATTATGCATTATTATATATTAATAAGTTGAATAAACTATACAATATATTAATATATAAATGAAAATATTCTGCATTTATAGTACTAATTATTTTAGATATTATAGCTGGTTTATGGAGCTCTGTCTGTATACTAGTTATTACACAAAGCACTTGACAAATGTGATCTCACTTAATCCTGCATGAGCAGTTGGTGCTACTGATATTCCTGCTTTCCAGATGAGGGAATAAACTCACCTGTGTGTGTGTGTGTGTGTGTGCCATAAGTATTTTCCCTGTACTCACAGAGCTACTAATTTAACAAGGCAGGATTTGAACCCGGGTGTGTTGGGGTCCAAAGCTAGTGTTCTTATTCTCTAAGCACCGCTACTAATTTAACAAGGCAGGATTTGAACCCGGGTGTGTTGGGGTCCAAAGCTAGTGTTCTTATTCTCTAAGCACCAGTGTTCCTCTCGCTAGTGACTTGCTTGGCTGTTCCCTAGGCTGCTGCCTACAAGCTCTCTACCCCTCCAAAGGGCTTTGATGTTGACTATAACCCCAAGTGTTTTCCTTATTCCTCTCCACAGCTCTGCATGGTAACTACTAACATCCTCCTGTTATGGTCAAGGACGAAGAGGCTCAGGGAGATGAAATTACACCACTCTTTAGGTGGCAGACCAGAACTGACCACGAGTCTAACTCCCGATTTTTCATCTTCTGTCTTCTTCCCCAGACCCATGCCCACACCCCCACCACTAACCCACCGACCTGGGAACCTCTCCCCCATGCACGCAGCAGGACAGCTGCCAGGCACGGCCACCCCGACAGCCCTTCCTTCTGGTCATACCTATGCTCCAGTCTCATTGAAAGGGAAGGGGAACACCCGAAGAGTCAGCCGCGTGGCTTTCTCAGGAAGCCTGCCTCTGACCCTCTGCTCTAGCCCAGCCCTGCTGAGATAATGGGGCCTAGAAGCCTCACTGCTGGGGGCAGGGCCAGCCTGCTGGGGTCTGATTGCTAATGTTTGTTACGGTTCTGACATGGGTGTTACTGTCTTAGCACTTCATCTATTTCTTTTTAGATGGTCAGTGGTGAAGATTTTCATCCTTGTCTTTGGGTTAACCTCAAATAAAAAGAAAGTTAACAAGTACCAAACATGTTTGGGAGGATTTCAACCCCAATTAAGTGTATATTTAGCACAATTTGATTTGTAGGAGAGGCATACTAAGGAATTCAGAGAAAATCGTATCTAACATGAAACCAGGGACTAAATTTAGATGCTTAGCTACATGGAATGTGAGGTTGCCCTCCCAGGAACACAGCTATTCCCACAAATTCTTAGAGGCTGCTTATAGGCTCTCTAGATATTCATTGACATCTACCAATTTTTTTTCCCTATCAACTTATGAAAATAGGAATCACCCCTTAACTGTTAAGAGAACCGTTGTAAGGTGCTGCTGTCTACCTCCTTGACAAAAATCTGATGCATCAGTGCAAAATTAATCTCCCATTATTGCATACCCTCAATTCTGTCTGGGCCTGGGGAAACCAACATAGGCCTGGTCTCAATGTACCTAAGGTCCACTAATTAAAAAGGTGTGTGTGTCAGTCCTAGTCATCCTGTTTACATACCAAGTTGTTTCTTTATATTCTCCCTCTCCTGCCATGAACCTTTTATATAATATTCACCAAGGTAAATGGCAACCTCACCCGCTACTCATTTTTCCCTCCAGTCAGTTGCACTGAACAGCATAGTGTTTTTGGAGGGGACATAGTTCTGTCCACATTCTTTTAAAACTCTTTTTTGCATAATTAACAATATCTATTGAATTCACTACATAGTACTGTCTTGAACTATTTTAGTGATTGTCAATTTTTTAAAATTTCTAATACAGATTGAAACTCTGTGCTTCACTCTTCACTCTAATGGTAGTTAGTCTCTGTCTTACCTGTTCATCAGCTATTTCCTCTTATTGTTGGTTCATCACTTTAGCCAATTATTAAAGAGTGTTTTTCTTCTCTACATTTTCCTACTGAGAATGAGAAAGAGTTTTCTTAAATTTTCTTCTGGTTATTATAATAAGTCATCTTCAAATTTTGACTCATCCTGTAAGTCTTTAGAACTAGGATCTTTTTTCTTTGGCATTTTTATAGGCCTGGTCTTAGTATTTTTCTCCTCTTTCCTAATTTTTTTTTTTCTTGTAAGTGCAAATATATTTTGAGGGATCCTATGGCAGGGGGGTGAGTATCAGTAGGCATCATTAGAGAATCTTTTGAATAAATTAGCAGATACAATCACCATTTCTGCAGTTGCTAGCTTTTGTAGAAAGAATACACATACACTATAAATACACAACTGAAAATTAATGGTAAGCAAGTATTGTTTCCATTTTTGTTGCTATATGTAAGTTATTACAAATACTAATTTTCCTTTACCTAAAAGAGATGATCTCTTACATAAGTGGCTGTGACAAAGGAAACTACATATGCATGGACCATTATCTGTCTTGGCCATCACTGTATCTCCAGTACTGAGCACAGTTTCTTGTACATAGTAGGAG